GCAGCAGCAGTAGTAATAGTAGAAGTCGTAGTACTAGCAGCAGCAGCAGTAGTAGAAGCAGTGGTGTTAGTAGTCAGTAGTAGTAGGAACATTTGAAAACCAGAAAGCACACACACCCACACAGCAGCGAAAGCCAAATCTGGCCCGAAGCTGTTGTGCAGCCACATCAGGAAGAAAACAACAGTCAAGGACCAGGTAATCAGGCTGAGGTAGGAAGGATAAGAGATCACAAGAAACGACCGTGAAGTATGTGAGGAACTAAACATGAGATTCAAAGAAGTGTTCACAGAGGAGACAGAAGGGACTCCAGAAAGACGGAGAGGTGGGGTACACCATCAACTGTTGGACACAATACATACAACTGAGGAAGAAGTGAAGAGGCTGCTAAGCAAGCTAGATGCCTCAAAGGCGATGGGGCAGGAAAACATCTCTCCATGGGTCCAGAGAGAGGGAGCAGAGGCGCTATGTGTACCACTAATAACAATCTTCAACACATCTATCGAAACAGGGCGACTATCTGAGGTATGGAAGACAGCAAATATAGCCCCAATTTTAAAAAAAAAAAAAAGAGACAGAGACGTAACATTAAACTACAGACCAGTATCACTAACATGTATAGTATGCAAAGTCATGGAGAACATTATCCGGAAAAGAGTGGTGGAGCACCTAGAAAGGAATGAGCTCATCAACACAGCCAGCACGGGTTCAGAGACGGGAAATCCTGTGTCAAAAACCTACTGGAGTTCTATGACAGGATGACAGCAGTAAGACAAGAGAGAGAGAGGTGGGTGGATTGCATTTTCTTGGACAGTAAGAAGGCGTTTGACACAGTTCCACACAAGAGATTATTGCAAAAGCTGGAGGACCAGACAGAGATAACAGGGAAAGCACTGCATTGGATCAGGGAATACCTGTCAGGAAGACAACAGCGAGTCATGGTACGTAGCGAGGTGCCTGTAAAGAGCGGGGTTCCACAGGGGTCAGTCCAAGGATCGGTGCTGTTTCTGGTATTTGTGAACGATATGACGGAAGGGACCGACTCAGAAGTGTCCTTGTGTGTAGATGATGTGAAGTTGATGAGAGGAATTCAATCGGACAAGCACCAGGCAGAATTAAAAAGGGTTCTGGACAGGCTACAGGCCTGGTCCAGCAACTGGTTCCTGGAGTTCAACCCCATCAAATGCAAAGTCATGAAGATTGGGGAAGGGCAAAGAAGACCACAGACAGAGTACAGTATAGGCGGCCAGAGACTACAAACCTCACTCAATGAAAAGGATCTTGAGGTGAGCACAACGCTGGGCACATCTCCTGAGGCGCAGATCAACCATATAACTGCTGCAGCATTCTGGCCCCTAGCAAACCTAAGAACAGCATTCCGACATCTTAATAAGGAATCGTTCAGGACCCTGTACACCGTGCACGTTAGGCCTGCAGCACAAGTTTGGAATCCACACCTAGCCACGCACTTAAGGAATCTAGAGAAAGTGCAAAGGTTTGCAACAAGACTAGTCCCGGAGTTAAGGGGCATGTCCTGCGAGGAGAGGTTAAAGGAAATCGACCTGACGACACTGGAGGACAGGAGAGATAGGGGGGATATGACAACGACATATAAAATGCTGAGAGGAATCGGCAAGGTGAACAGAGACAGGATGGGACACAGCAACAGGGGGTCACAGTTGGAAGCTGAAGACTCAGATGAAACACAGGGATGTTAGGAAGTATTTCTTCAGTCACACAGTTGCCAGAAAGTGGAATAGCCTGGGAAGTGATGTGGTGGAGGCAGGATCCATACATAGCTTTAAGAAGAGGTATGATAAAGCTCATGGAGCAGGAAGAGTGACCTAGTTGTGACCAGTGAAGAGGCGGGGCCAGGAGCTGTGAATCGACCGCTGCAACCACAACTAGGTGAGCATACACACACACACACACACACACCACATGTCAGCTAACCCCAACATGGACATCATACATACACAACATAATCAAGTTATAAGCGCTGTCCATTTGCTCTGATGGAAGTTAATTACCGCCATTTTAATTACGAAGCTTGTTTAGTTATGTCACACAATTTACTGCGCAATTTTCAAAACTCCTATTTTTTAACACGAGAATATAGCACTTAGAATATAGCGCATAGCGCCTACAACAACATATAAAGCACCTCACTGAACACTAAACATATCGCTTAACGCAGATAATTCAGAAATAGGCCATTTTTTCTTTTAAAAAAATGAAATTAATAATGGGCAGCCATGTAGAAAATGCTGATTATAAATTGGCAATCGCAAAATAGATTGCTGTTCAATGAGTTATTACAAACAGGCAATCAGAAGTAAGTTAATCAGAATAAGTTAATCAGAAATAAGTAATCAGAGATAAGTTAATCAGAAATAAGTTAATCAGAAATAAGTTAATCAGAAAAAAGTTAATCAGAAGTTGGTAACTAGAAATGGGTAATCGGAAATAGGTAACTAGAAATAGGTAATCAGAAATAAGTAAGTAGAAATGGGTAATCAGAAATAGATCACTAGGAATGGGTTATCAGAAAAAGGTAACTAGAAATGGGTAATCAGAAATGGGTAACTAGAAATAGGTTATCAGAAATAAGTACCTAGAAATAGGCAATCAGAAATAGGTAACTACAAATAAGTTATCAGAAATAGGTAACTAGAAATAGATAATCAGAAATAGGTAACTATAAATAGGTTATCAGAAATAGGTAACTAGAGCTAGGTAATCAGAAACAGGTAACTAGAAGTAGCTAATCAGATATAGGTACCTAGAAATAGGTAAACACAAATAGGTACATATACATTTTCTTTGACCCTAATGGTAATTTTCTGGAAATTTTTTAGTAGCTTTCTATCTTTTGGGGGGCGATGTTTCGCCCCCCACCAAGACTTGGGCGAAAAGTTCAGAGGTTAAGTGTCGACAGCTCTTTCAGAGCTGTCGACACTCTTTTCTTTTTGTCTTATAAACTTGTCGACAATTTTTTTACCTTTCAAATCTGTCGATTCTTTTTCTTTTCTTTTAAATCTGTCAACATTTTTTTCCTTTTAAATCTGTTGACTTTTTTTGTAAATCTTTAAACAATTTAAATCTGTCGGCTATCTTTTTCTTTGCCTTTTAAATATGTTTTAATCTGTCGACAGTTTTTTTAATCTGTCGACAATTTTTGCCTTTCATTGTCGATTTTTTTTTAAATCTGTCATTTTTTTTCTTTTAAATCTGTCGACAATTTTTAGCCTTTCATGTCTGTCGGGATTTTTGTCTCTGAAATCTGTCGGCATGTTTTGCCTTTTACATCTTCTGACACTTTAATCTGTCGATATGCTTCTCTATGAAATCTGCCGGAATATTTTTTCTGCCTTTGAAATCTGTTGGCATTTGTTTTGTCTTTCGAATCAAGAACCATAAATAAGTGAATTTTCTGAACTGCAAACATCTGTGACGTGAATCAGACACATGTGCAGCACCTGGGTCGTGTAACACAGGTGTTACACCTGTGTCTTGTAACACAGGTGTTACGCCTGTGTCTTGTAACAGGTGTTACACCTGTGTCTTGTAACACAGGTGTTACACCTGTGTCTTGTAACACAGGTGTTACACCTGTGTCTTGTAACACAGGTGTTACACCTGTGTCTTGTAACACAGGTGTTACACCTGTGTCTTGTAACACAGGTGTTACACCTGTGTCTTGTAACACAGGTGTTACGCCTGTGTCTTGTAACACAGGTGTTACACCTGTGTCTTGTAACGCAGGTGTTACACCTGTGTCTTGTAACACAGGTGTTACACCTGTGTCTTGTAACGCAGGTGTTACGCCTGTGTCTTATAACACAGGTGTTACACCTGTATCTTGTACACAGGTGTTACGCCTGTGTCTTATAACACAGGTGTTACACCTGTGTCTTGTAACACAGGTGTTACGCCTGTGTCTTATAACACAGGTGTTACACCTGTGTCTTGTAACACAGGTGTTTACGCCTGTGTCTTATAACACAGGTGTTTACACCTGTGTCTTGTAACACAGGTGTTACGCCTGTGTCTTATAACACAGGTGTTACACCTGTGTCTTGTAAACACAGGTGTTACACCTGTGTCTTGTAACACAGGTGTTTACACCTGTGTCTTGTAACACAGGTTTACACCTGTGTCTTGTAACAAGGTGTTACACCTGTGTCTTGTAACACAGGTGTTACACCTGTGTCTTGTAACACAGGTGTTACACCTGTGTCTTGTAACAAGGTGTTACGCCTGTGTCTTGTAACACAGGTGTTACACCTGTGTCTTGTTCATCACCTTGTAGGCACCGTACACCATTACTGTTATAACGTCTGTAACGGGTTTCATGGAGAAACAATAGAGGTAAACAACAGAAACAGTTCCGTTTTTGAAAACTTCCTTAAATTCGGTTTATTTGCTCTTCCCATTAAAATTCATGTTTTTTTTTTTTTTTTACCGCCCGGGAATGTATGACCTACTTTTATTATGTATGGTGCTGGTAATGGTGTTTTTTTTTTTTATTATTATTAATATTTCCACACAACATCAACGAGAGAAGATTCATGTTTTTTTTTTTTTTCCTGTTTCTAAAAGTCAAATTTTTTTTTCCATAAAACTCTGAGTTTTATTTTATTTTTCAATAACACAAGCACAACTTTTATGTGTTTTTTTCGCTATTTCTGAAATCCATTGATATTTTCGTGCATTTCTACACAGCGTTATCAGAGGTTTTCATGGTTTTCTTCCTCTTTCCACACACCACAAAGACCTATTTGATTTTTTTTACAGTATTTCCAAACGCCACGAACGGAAATTAGATTTTTTTAGATTTTTTTTTTTTGCCTCTGTTTCATCACAACATCAACATTGATACATTTCCAAACACCAGATAAAAAAAAAAACATTTTTCTAAATTTCTTCAGAAACATAATTTTGACGTGTTTTCTCTTTATTGTACTTGCAGACAGCACTAACAGTCTGGTATCTCCTGACAGATATGGGTGTGAGTCTGGGCTGGAACTGGGAGATGTGGTGGACTTACGATGGAATATCAG